TACTTCTCTCGCGTCAATGTGTTGCAGCGCCTGCTGGGCTACGTGACAGGGCAGATTGAGGGCGAGGACAAGGGCAGCTTCAAGTGAGTGTCCGGTCACGATTGTGGCGAGCACGCTGGCTCAGTCGTCGAACCCCTGGAGGTATCCCTATGTCGCGACCGAGGTCTTGTGCAGCGAAATATGGTCCATAGTCGACACCTGCGTCAATCACCAGGACCAGCTGCTCGTCCCGTTCTGGGAGACAGTCCTCGAAAAGTCCCCGGAGGAGATGCGAAGCCAGGTCATGATGGCGTCGCATTTTGCGAAAGTGAACGTCGCATTTTTGAGCAAGAAGCCCGCAGAGGTGAATACATCTATCTCTGGTACTCGTCCTGTGTGGTGTGATCTCTGAGCGTCGTGCTCAGATGTTGGCGTTTATACAAGCCCAACCCGACATCGTGGAACGGATACTGCGACACATAGAGTCCCCGCCGTTCGCGGATTTGCTCGTGCGCATAATCCAGTTGGACGAGCACCCAGCCGGGGCCGGGGTTCTTGAAGTATGTCCGTCCTCATGCACTGCGTGCCCTTCTGCGAAACCCTCTTACCCCAAGAAACGCAGTGGCTGTCCAAGGAGAACTTGATGTCGCGGTTAATTGACCTCTTGTCACCGGCGCACAGTAGCGACATGCATACAGTCGTCGCAGAACTCATCAAGGGGATCATTTCCATGGCTGCGCCCTCTCCTGCTGCTGGTATCTCCGACGGTCTGAACCACCTCCCTGCGTCGAACGTCTTCGCTCGTGAGCTCGCGCACCGCGACAACGTATCCAAGCTCGTCAGCTTCATCATGTACGAAATGAGCCCGCACAGTCCGGGCAGGGACGACTCCGCGAACACCTCCATTACTCAAGAATCCGCTTCCTCTTCCGTTGTCCAGTCAATATGCATCATCATCGAGCTCATTCGGCAGAACAACTCCGACTACTTCGAGCCCTACCTCTTCCACACGCTGCGAAATCGTCTCATTCAAGTTCAGCAACAAATGGCGATGAACCAGGACGGTGCTCGTGAGGCTCTTGAGAATGCCATGACGGAGATGGTCAATAGGATGGGCGTCGTGCACCTGGGACCCGTGCTGGAACTCATGTGCGACCATCTGGACAAGCTGCAGCGATTCCTCAAGGAACCGCGCGCTCTGGTACGTGGGTCTCCGCATATATGTGGGCGAATTCTTAAATTATCGATTAGAACGGACCAGTCCTTACGACGTTAGGTGCTATCCCACCATTGACGTTTGAAAGGTATCGGATATGCGAACTCTACGCCGAACTTCTCCACTGTTCCAATATGGCTCTCCTCAACCGCTCCTCTGACTACGACCATTTGTACGACGCGGATGGACGACTACAAGGAGGCCTTTCCTCTCTCGAGGAGTTGGCACAAGTCATCGCGATTGGAAACGGCAGTGGCGACAGCGAGGGCATGGATGACGACGAAGGTGACGAGGTTGAGTCCGCCCACGAGTTCCCCGTATCCCATGCCCCGTCATCATCGCTCATCGACTCAGACGAGGATATGAGCGGCGGTAGCTCGGACGAAGAGGCCATGGAAGAGATCGCGATGTACGAGTCGCCTAGAGCCGATCCCAGTCCCACCCCTCGAGAGCCATCCCCTGGGTCGTTCTTCGCTAGGGCCGCATCCCCTCTAACGATTTCGCCCTCCACCTCTACCCCGTCAACTAGCCCCGGTGACATCTCTTCCTTCCCACAACGGCAGAATTCCTGGAGCTCGGAGCCGGAAGGCTCTCTTTCTAGACCGCGGTCCAGAGATTCTCGCCGGAGCTTCAGGAGATCAACGAAGGAGCTACCCATCGGACGCCCGGTCCTTGGTGAACGTCTCAAGCAGCGATTCCTCGAGGCGAACGTCGCGTCAACACTGCTGGTAAGTGCTCTCCGGTCGTTTGTTTCCGGCAGCAACTGACCGTGCGTCCATAGGATCTGTTCTTCGAATTCCCATGGAACAACTTCTTGCATAGCGTCGTATATGACCTTATACACCAAATCCTCACTGGTCGCGTCGATGGCGGTGTTAACCGAGAACTGACCGTTTCGCTATTCCGTGACGCGAGGCTGATGCACCGTATCATCGAAGGGTCAAAACGCAACGATGTTGAGAGGTACGTGCAGTACTCCGGATTGAAAGGCATGCATTGAGCAATACACTTGCAGCGAAAAGCCCAAAGGTGTCAGGTTAGGATACATGGGACACCTCACCCTCATCTCAGAAGACGTGATCGGCGCACTCGAGCATCTTCCACCAGACCTTCGCCTGCAGATCGGCCAACATGCGCCACAGCCTGAGTGGGACGAGTACGTCACTGGTCGATATAAGGAGACCAAGAAGAAGGATTCAAGTCTCCTCGGCGGTGGGAAGCCTGTCGTCGCTCCCTCCATGCGCAACGGTGCCGCGCAGTGGAAGGTCGATGAGGCCGATGCTGTCGCTACCTCAGCGCCTGGGCGTGCAGGTGAGAAGCAGCCGGCGCAGGAGATGAAGGGCGAGTTCCGCAGGTCATCAAGCAACAGTAGGAGGGAAGGTAGCGCCGACTTTGGTTCTATGCCCATGGATGACGAGGACGATGAATTTCACACTACCCCTTCTCGCGTGCGTAGCCACTTTCATTTTGTGCTGCTGCTGTGGCATGAGTTGACTTATAAGCAGTTTGCGAACTACCTCGTGCACGAAATCCAGTCATCTGACCATATAGGATCTTCGGATGAGGCCTCAGACGATGAAGATGACGGGGGAGGATGGCTAGCGCAATCCACATTTGAGTTGCGACCCCCACCAGTGACAGCACGTCAACATGACAACGACCGCAGACCACTTAGCGCAAGTGTGTTTGATGTGAGTGCAATTGGTGCTGGCGCCCCGAGCAACCCTAACATTGTGCATCTCCAGGATGCGTTTGGCTCATCTTCGTCGGATTCACATGCCAGCTTCCAAGATCCGTTCGAAGACGTGAGTGTTGACGTCGTACATGCATTTCTGTGCTAACGTCTCGGCCATTTCCAGGACGCCTTTGGGCCCTTCTCCGACAACGCCGCTGCCGGCGGCTCCGACCCATTCACCTTCTCAACAGCCACGACAGACGAGTTCATGGCAGAGAGCTCGTTCGAATCCTTCGGAGAATTCGGCGACTTCCAGAGCGCAGGCTCGGATTCGTTTGGGGACGACGGCTCCCTAACGCCCACGGGCGCCGACAGCTGGAGCTTCGCCAGCGTGTCGAGCACGAGCTCCTTCGAGGAGACAGAGCGCAGGTCAGGAGAGGCCAGCAGGGACTCGGACGAACGGACTGCGCGCGACAACTAGACCATGTACGCTTCGAGTACTTGTATTCCTACCGCTTGTCTCTGCCCGTGTTGCTCTCGTGTGGCTCGTACTCATGTAGTAGATTGCTGTCTGTTGTTCCACTGCCTGTTTCTCTGCACGCGGTCCATGTCATGCCTCATCAGTAGTGTACGTTTTCTGAATGATATTTAGATGGGATATCCAAGATGGACCGGCGGATGAGCGATCGTTCAAGACGCTTCACTCGGGCTTGTAGTGGTATCCGCCCTCACGCTGGATAGCGTTGAAGTCGAGCGCCGCGAGCTGTTTGCCAGTGCTGTCGGTGAGTGTGCACTCGATCTTGTCTCCGGGAACGACTGGACCGACGCCGGATGGCGTGCCGGTTAGGATCAAGTCTCCCTCCTACGAAGGCCAAGTGAATACGAGTACAGCGAGGACATCACGGGGCTTACCTCAAGAGTCATGATGGTGGAGATGTGATGGATAAGGCGAGGAATTGAGAAAAGCATGTCCTTGGTGTTCCCATCCTGCTTCACCGCGCCGTTGACCTGACACAACGTGGATTCAGCAAGGCCGCCAAGTGACTAGGAGGACTCGGTTCTAGCTACCTTCAAGGTGAGGCCAAGGTTGGCCGCGTCAGCAACCGAGTCCTTCGGGACGTAGGAGCTAAACAAGCGTTATATGAGCGCAGATCCCACAGAGCCATCGATGCTAAGTAGTGCCATACCTGATCGGCGTGAAGGTGTCGAAGCCCTTGGCAACTGTCCATGGCAGCCGCTTGGCCTTGATCTCCTCTTGCAGGTTCCGTGCAGTCATGTCGACAGCGAGAGCTGCAAGTGTCTGACTCAGTCTCGAGTACAGACCGACCCTTAGTGCGGATGTGCTGTACCATAACCCGCGACGTAGCTCTCCGCCTCGGACTCGGGGATGTCGCGACCGCGTTTGCCCACGACGACACCAAGCTCGACTGTTGCTTCGTTAGTAGCGTCGCTTGCACAAGCACGGAAAGCAAGTACCTTCATAGTGAGCGAGCACCCCTTGAGGGATCTCCACGTTCCCTCCGGACGGAAGGTAGCTGGTAGTCGGCTTCAGGAAAATGATGGGCTCCTTCGGAATGGCGTTGTTCAGCTCCTTGGCGTGCTCGCCATAGTTGCGGCCAATTGCCACAATCTGTATGTGTTGAACACGTCGTAAGTTGGACGCTGCAAACTACCCATCTGAACAAGATGCTTACTTTCTTCCCTTGTTGAGCAAATGCAGCGGCAGCCATGCGAGCTGAGGTCTGGCTGAAGGAACGTTGAGACAGGAAAGCCCCGGAGGCTGCTGCTTTTGCGCTGTTCCTTATCGTGGCTGCGAACATGGTTCCTGTGTGCCTCCCGAACTGAATCCAACACAGCGACTCGGTGAGTTGGCAGGTGAGAGAGCTGGTGAGAGTCAGCGGTGTTCGGAGAATCTCGGGCCGCAGGCGCTTATGCCCTGAAGGATGCCCATCGGTCACTAATACATGATCTCCAGCAACTTTGATAGCTAGTAATCGTATGCTGCATGTAGTGAGTTCTACTCAGGCAGAAACACACTGGCCAAGTCAGAGATGTGGATTCGCGATGTTGCTGCAAGCTGCTGTTGATCCGCAGTATCGTATAAGAAACATCGCACCCACATAGAAGCAAGGGCACATGGTGTAGTTGGTTATCACATCCGCTTAGCATCGATATCAAATGTGATGTCTTGTGGTTGCGGGGGGTGCTGGGTTCAATTCCCAGTGTGTCCAAGCTTTTTGCTGGTTCTTATGTTGCTGCAGCCTCCCTTCTCCAATCGCACTCAACCACGAAGGCTCTGAACTTGGTCTACATCGGTTTTTGTCGTACCCTGACTAGGTTGTCCCAGAAAACGCAGGGACCAGCGAGGTTGTGGGGCATGCATGTCGTAGGACAACGGCAAGGGCACGAAGTATATTGAGGGCGCGGAGACGTCGCGGTACGACCTTGACGCGCTCGATGAATGTGAAATGGAAACACATACTCTTCGTCTCATGTCCTTTGCTTTTGTTGGCTGTCAAGAGGTGCACATGGAGCTGCCGGAGTGTTGAGAGCACCATAGTGTGACGACTTGGGGAGCATCTCGCCCAGACGGTCGACCTCTTCCCAGGTCCACACACGAGTTGAGGACGAGTGATTCAAGGTCGCGGCGGCACAGCTCCCGTCGAAGATCAGGTAAACGAATGTCATCCGGGTTGCCATGACGAGCTCGCGGAGGCGGGTGGCGAATTGGGAGAGCACAGGGAGAGAACGGTAAAGTGTCTGCAAGATATCCACCGGTAGGTCCACGAAGACAACCTCAAGATGCTCGATTGAGGCGGGAAAGGTCCAAGAAGGTGAGCAAGACACCGCCGGGGACGGGCCAAGATCTTGACCGGTACTGTATGGGCGTCCATGAGCTGAACAGACCTAACGCGCGCAGCGACACGGGTTGCGTTTGCCTCCATGTCATTTCAGAGTCGGTGACAGCACGCTGCAGGTGCAAAGGATGTGCTAGAAGCGGCTCCTCGGTGTCCAAGTCTTGCCGACGAGGGACGTCTGCTTGTTGTAGGCTTGTCATCATGCAGATACTCGAGGATCCTATCCCACAGCACGGAGGGCAGAACGTGACTTCGAAGGTCGACAGTTGCCGTGGTGTTCATGGGTGGTGATTCATATGCGTCGGCGCAGTGCCCTGCAAAAGGTCCTAGAACTGGCAGTCGAACACAACTGGAGTAAGCACAAACCTATCTGCGTGCTGCGATCTCGTAGAGGTCTCACAGTATTTGCTCCCGCACTCGCGGGAACGATGGGCGAAGCTAGCCCGGCCATTGCTTGTTCAGTTCCACCCAACCAACAGATCTACCTTCGTGCCGAACTTGCGTTCTACTGGCGGGCGGTTACAGCGACTCGATTGATCCTCGTCAGGTCCCGACCGAAGCCGCAGGTTCCAACACTGGGCGGCCGGAAGAGCTCAAGCTTCGCAGGGAAGGACGTTGCACAGGCTCACTTGAACAGCGACGATCTAGTATCTGCACGAAGCGTGTCAGCGGTCGGCTGGGCAGAAGGTGGGTGCGTTGCTCACTGAGTGGCTCTGGCGGTTCGTGATGGTACTCACAGTACAGTGACAGGAAACTCGCAGGAGACGGAGACCTGTGCATATGCGTCGTCGACGCAAACCGCACCGCGGACGCCAGGTTCGCCCGCTCCGAGTCCCCTGCGGACTTCAAAATTCACGCTCTCGGGCGGATGCCGGAGACGCTTGAGTTTCGGTCCGAGTATCGCTCGGCGCTCTGCATAGTCTCTTCATTTTGCTCGCTTGCACCGTCAATCCGCACGAGACCCACTGGGCATACTCAAGAACAACAGTAGTGTCTCGGCCGAGATGCTTGGGAGAATGAGGCGGAGGCAGGGGTGCAAGCCCGCCCACTTCCCTGCCAACGAACCATGAACGTTTCGCTCCGCCCGCCCTTGCTATCCGCGCTCGCGCCCGTCTGGTACGGCGAACCGTCTCTCGCTCCCGCTCCTGCGAGGAGCATGAGGCTGAGGCAATTGCGCTGCCGAACGGAGCCGTGCCGAAGGTTTGTGCTCGCCGGCACGATGGTGGGCAGCTCGGCGAGCTATGCAGATCTCTTGGCTTGCCAAGTGACAAGTCGTCCGCCGCTGAGGCCCTTGGCATACATGGGAACCGCCGCGCTGCTCCCTCCAGGCCCTGCATGTCCCCGCCCGCCAAGGGTCTTCTGAATGCTCGCCCTTGCTTTATAACGCTCGCGCCCAAGAGCAGCGTTGCTCACCGCCCACCTTTTCGCCTGTTTCTCGCTCGACGCACGCTTGAGACGTCTTGCTCTCTCCTAGGACTGGCGAATCCGACCACGAACTGCAAACAGCGAAGTATCTCGAGTCCAGAATACGCAGAGATGGAGCACTTGTCGTCATATCTCTTGACCGTCCTGGCGTTCTCCCTGTCTGCAAATGCAATTGCCCTCCGGATACGCGCTGATCCCGAGGGGTGAGTTCGCTGGGATCTTGCGGCCTCAAGTGCAGCGCTGATGCCGTTCTCGTACCACACAGGGAGTCACAGGACCCTGCTTCGCAAGGAGACGAGGAGAGCGGCCCCGATGGGCACCTGAACGAACCTTGGGTTGTTGCGGTCGCCGTGGCTCTCGGTGCGTCTCTCGGTGCTCTATCTTGGCTTTAGCACTGACGTTCGTTCGGCCCTCTAGCTGTCGTCGTATGCTGCGTGGCAGCTATCATCCTCGTCATCAAGTGGCGACAGCGCCGCCGGAATCAGAGTAGGGGCAGGCAGAACTACAGCCGGACGGCGGACGAGCTCGCTGCAGCAGGTGTACAGGGGCCGCCGTACCAGCACGCATGGAAGGGCCCGTACGCCTCGCGCTCGTCATATACGCGCTCTCCTTCACCAGTAAGTTCGAAATATCGCCATATCGATTGGACGCCCTGGTACTGACTGCGCGTTCGCGCAGCCTTCTCCAGCACATCTTCCTGAGAAGGATCGGTGGGCGTCCCCTCAGCGGTAATTGGCGACGCTTTGCCGCCACGCTGCTCTTCTCCTGTCGGTGTTCGCACATACGCAGGCAAGGCTTCCTGGTAGGTCGCTCATCTGTATGGAGCGTACGTATCTCGCTGACCGGATTCTCTCAGGGCCTTTCTGCATCTGGTTCTGCGACTCCATTTGTCCATAAGACAACGCGCTCCCGGTGGCAGCTCGGGGACACCATTGGCGACGCCGCCCTTCTCGCGCGCTATGCTCGCATCCCTGGACGTCATCGTCGAGCGAAAGGGATTGCGGAAGCAGACGAAGGCGCTTTGGCCGTCATGGATGTCTATCTTGCGGCTATGAACTTCACGCGCCCCCCGACCATGCCGGGATCCCTCTTCTGTATGGAGTGAAGGACGGGGAAACTCTCGTACTCTGCTGTATTCTAGCATACGTCTCTCTGCTGTACGTTCCCCCTCTACTACCTGGGTAATGCTAAGTGTACTTGGTCGCCGCCCTATCAATGGCCAAGAGACTTCAGTTTATGCGTCACTTCTGCGTGCAGGATGTCAAGGTTCGGCGATCATATCTTCCCCGATGTCCGACCTTAGCAGCGGATCGTCCGGCACCGCAACATGGCAAGCGGGACATGGTGCCAGGGCAGGGCCTGGGAAGGGCTTACTGATGCTATCGCAAGTAACCTTTCGAGGACGGCACAGCAACGTCCGAGAGGACCATCCGCCTACCGCCGACCGGAATCCTCCTTGATGCACCGAGTCGTGATGTCACCTTGTAAGTGCTTATACCCAAACGCTGCGGGGTCCCTGATGCTTTTGTATTGATGCCCACATCGCAGGAGGAGGTTCTCAGGCTGGGATTGAACCGCTGCTTCCGGAAGCCTGCTGTACGTACCGCAAATCATCGGCAAGCGCACCTCGCGTCCGTGGATAGCTATCGCAAGCCTTGTAGCATCAGGAGCGGTGCTGCGCCGTAGAGCACGCCATGAGCAACACTTGCTTCTCGGTATCTGAGGGCCTTTGAAATGCGGTCGCTTAAGTGGAGGACCTCGTCTGGAAGGATGCACTAAGTACTTACTGCTCCCGGTCGTTGACCTTCTCCGAGGTGGTTCCTCGAGCGGACAATGTGCAGTGGAATATTCGAGTGCATCGAGCATATTAGGCCTGCGCAATGCCGTTAGACTGTCATACCCCATACCACGCTGTGAGACAACGAAAAACTGTACTCGTACTCGTACTGAAGGCACTTGAGCATGGGTCCACGAGCTCGTTTACTACGTTAAACCTGGCAGCTACCGTCGCGAATAGCCGGCAGTCGACTGGACGCTGCGTATATGGACGTGGGAAAAGGCTTGTGGCGGAGGAGGTACGAAAATAGATAACCCCAGACCTAACCCGGGATTAGGGTGAACCATTTATGGACAATCAGGTGATTAGATGAGGAGCGAGAAAGTTGGTGGGAATGACTCGGAGGTCGACTTTATAGACTTGGGCGGACTCGAGTCCGGTCTGACTCTGCCCCAGTTTTCCTCCGACTGCCCCCTTGCTCGTCGTCGTCGTCGCTGCTCGTCGCCGCCGCCGTCGCCAGCATGTCCCTCTCAGCTTCCAGGATGCGCGTCCCGGCCGCCTCCAAGGCCGTCTCCTCGACGCAGTTCGTCCGTGCTCGCTCGACCGCCGCAAGCGCAAGCGCGTCGATGGTCGAAGCCAAGTCCAGAGTAAGAGAGCACGCCAGGAATATCAGCAGGTCCAGTGCCCGTGAGGCTACTGCTACCTCGTCCACCGTGTACGTGTATATGCGTGCCCTCTCTGTCCTTGCATAACGCTGAATGTATGCATACTTCCAGGCGGCCAGCACCTGCGCCGGGATACCAGCAGCTGCCCACGAGAAACAACGTTCCTTTCCCTGCACCTTCTCTTCCTCCATATGCAGCAGAGGGTCCCCTGGACAGCTCCTTCGTTGGCATGTCGGGGGCCAGATCTTCCACGAGATGATGGTCAGGCATGGCGTCAAGCACATCTTCGGATACCCCGGCGGCGCCATCCTCCCCGTCTTCGATGCCATCTACAATTCCCCGCAGTTCGACTTCGTTCTTCCGAGGCATGAGCAGGGCGCCGGTCACATGGCGGAGGGCTACGCCCGGGTGACAGGCAAGCCCGGCGTTGTCCTCGTCACTTCCGGTCCAGGGGCGACGAATGTCATCACCCCTATGCAGGACGCCCTCAGTGATGGTGTGCCCCT